TATATTTTTTTTATATATTTGTATTATTAGACGAATTATATTCATTCATCCCATTCACCATTCATAGTATTTCATTTTATTGTTTATTTCTGTCAATTAGTACCCCTTTTTAAAGAAAATTTGTTTGGGGCCCAGCCAGTGTTGTAAGCTGCAAATGTAATACAAATTTTGAAGTTAGATTTCAATTATAGTCAATTTTTTTCGTTGCCTTGATGAGCAAACCCTTTTTTTTTTTTTTGGGTCGGAAGTGCCTGAGGTAATTGTATAGCTTGTTAACGAGCTCAGTACTTAATTAAATATCAAATTGGTATTAATTGCAATGTAGTTGAGCTGATAGACAAAATGCCTCAACGATCCATTCATATCGCATAGATGAATCAGTTCTTAAATTTCATCTAAGAGACTTCATTTATTTGTGCGTGTGTGTGTGGTTTGGCAACTTTTTGTGACTTTTGTTGTGTGCAAATAATTTGCAGCTCGTTTGTTGCAACATTAACAATGTTATCCAGTGCGAGAGAGAGAAGCAGGAGGCGATGGGTGTGTGGGTGGAAGGAAGTCAAAACTTTTATCTAATTAATGGAAACTTCAGCACAATGACGAGCTGTGTGGCATGAGCAGAAGAGATCTTATGCTTTTGAAGCTGTTGAACGCGCCACGCGCATTGTTGACAGTGAAGCGACGAACTCGGCGTACATGGCGTATGATTGCTTTTGTGTAAACAACGACGGGGACAGACGGATGCATGGCGACTGGCAGTGGGAGGATAACGAGGGGCAATGGGGGGTAATGTGGGCAAGGGACCATGTCTTTGGCAGTTTTTTGCTTTTTTTTTTTTTCAGCTGCGTAAAAGTTTTTTAATTAGCAACAAAAGTAAAGGGGTTAATAACGCGAGACGACTTCAGCGCGAGTCAAGCTCGCTGAGTTGAGAGTTGAATTTTTGTTGGCTGTTGCCAAAAGTTTGGCAAGCTAACAATTAAGTTTCGGCAATGCGGCTGACGTGCGAGGGGCGTGGCCGCAGATAATGGGTATTAAGCAACACTTACTGACAATTAAGTTGAGCAGCCTCATCATCCAAACAGAGAAAGCCAGAGAGAAAAAAGGGGAGAGCGAGGGGTGCCTGACTGATGTATCCTTTGCCTCATTGTTGACTTTTTTCAGGCTGTAATTACGCTTAATCGCGAATTTCCAACGCTCATGCACATGCCGCATGGCGCTTGGCACATGGCGTGGCAAGGATGCGTTGCCGAAGCTGCTTAAGTTGTGGCAATAGCCCGCAGCAAGTGCCGCGATTCGCTGCTTGACCAGATGCCAGCAAATTCGCATTCAGCAAATCTGCACAATTCCAAACAGTCGCCGACTCCGTCAGATAAGCGCATAATATTCATGAGCTTAGTTTTATGAAGTGCTAACAATGCGTAAAGCTACAACAACCACAATTTGCGATGGCAGCACGGAGCAGGAGGCGGCTTCGTTTAACATCAGCTGAACACCTTTTGCAGGTAGCTATGCGCTTTGCCATATTCAGCTGTCTGTCTGTCTGTCTGTCTGCCTGCCAGAAGTTTTTCCATTTTCCTCGCTGACCACATTCATGGCCTCTCTATTTCTTTTGCCTTTTGTTATGTTTTGCCTTGCTTTCCCTTGCTTTCTTTACTTGGTCTCTCTCTGGGCTGGGGTAATTTTTCACTTTCGCAAGATGGCAGCGCATTTTAATGAGCCTCACCAACAGCAGAATATGCGGTCAGCCAAGGACTAGCAGCAGGAGCAGCAGGAGCAGCAGCAACAGCAGCAGGACACTGGACACTCGCCTGGATAATTTGTGTTGCATTTGCATTTTCATTGGTGCGATATGTTAATGACTTTGCTTACTTTATCCCCAACTGCTGTTCATCTTGATAAACTTGTTGTTCCCTGCTCCGCTAGTTGTCTCGCCATCTATTGGGTTTCTTTCTGTGTTCTTTTCGCTTCTCTCTTTTGCTTTGGTGTTTGTTGTCTGATTAGCATAGGCAAACGACTAGACGATATGCCAAAGTTTTGTGCCATAATTAGCTGCATCATTTATCATTCAATTGTGGCAAATGCGCCGCCAGACGTCTTCAAATAGTTCAGAAACTCAACTTTTTTGTAGAAATATATATTAGCAATAAGCGAGAAACTAAAGATTGTACGTGGAGTAGTGAAGCAACACAAGAGAGAGAGTGAAAAGAGTAGGAGAGACAGAGAGAGAGAGAGAGAGAGAGAGTGAGAGAGAGAGAGAGAGAGAGAGAGAGAGAGGGAAAGACAGATAGAAAGAGTGGGCGATAAGGAAAGAGTAAAAGATGGACAAACCCCACAAGAGGGTTCAGGGTATATCCTAGTCGATAAGTCTCTTTTCTTGCTGGCTTTTATTTACAATTATTCATCATCAACTGAAAGAAAAACAAATAAATAATAGCAAACATTATTATTAAAAATTAAACAAATAAATCATAAAACTTTTCAGTGTTCTATGATAAGCAAATAAAAAATAAAATGGAGAAAAAAGGCAAATATCAATTAACATGTTGAGCACTCAAATAAATGTCTAATCGTAATGATTTATTGTCAATTGAGCTGCATATGCAAATGCTTTAAATCAAATTTATATTGCCTATGATAATAATTTATATATGAGTTTTATTAAGCGCTTCAAATACGACAAAAATGTGGAAAATTTCTGGTCTGTCAATTATTGTAAAAATTGTGTGTGAAATTATTGTGAATATCATGTAGTATTTGCTGATATCAACATATCAATGGAACAAAAACATTCGCACATTGTTTGCCCAACTGTCTATTTATTTACATTTGCATTCACATTTTATTAAATAGAATTTTGTTTGTGTTTCCTGTTTTCCCTGCTTTGCCCTCGATAATATAGACAAATGTGAAATGAAGAGAAAAATTTCCATTTAAAAGTCAAAAATGCAAAAGTCGTTTAAAACATACAAAACTCAATTTGAGTGTGTRTGCGTGTGTGTGTGTGAAAAACATTAAAATAATTGTTTTAAAATCCTTTTGTCAGAAAGTAAAGTAAATTATAAACACACAGACAGACTGACTGACAGAGAGACAGACAGATAGATGGATAGATGGATAGACAGCCGAGCGAGTCTGTGGAGCGCCTGGCAGGATAACGATAACACGTCACAAGTCACAGGATTTCACTGAGCCATTAAAAACGTTGCCACACACACTCCGACACACACACATAGACATATGTATGTATATTGCATCTGTGTCTGTTCAACTGCAAAAACATTTGCGAAAAATTAATTTTATACAAAACGTTATGCAAATTTGATATGCAGAAAAATATATAAGAAAATCTATTAGAGCGCACCAAAATAGATGTGAATAGAAAGTTGAATAATGCTCGACTAGGCTATACTTTCCTCTGGATAGAATCACTTTGTTTAGTTTCTAGTTTAGTGGCTGTTGAGAGCTCGGCATTTGAATCGGATTTTAAGGTTTAATTGTGGTCGAGCACCAGAAGAAACTGAAGAATTTTTGCAAATGAATTTGGGTTTGACTAGACAAACAGGGAGTTTTGTTACATGAAATGGTTGGTCACAAGAGATTTACTAGAAATAATTATATATTAGACACAATATACAATAAAAAATAAATTAATATTGATTTGACAAAAATTGCTTTTTGCTATCCCATTGTCATTTATCGACAAAACAAGAGTTGAGACCCGCTTTCGGCTGAAGTTTCATCACAGGGTATGTCAAAGTAGAGAGGCAATTGCTGGAAATATTTTGATAGTTTGCAAATTTCAATATAAGAACGATACGGATATTGTTTGTACATTTGCATACTACATGCAACACATGCAACATGCATTTTCCATAAAGCTTGCCTCATCAGGATATGCTACAAATGTTTCAATTTTATTCATTGTACAGCAATTTTTCAAGCAATTTCGTTTGCTGTTTCTCAATTTTACTTTTCTTTTTATTTTCTCGCTCTTGCTCTCTCGTTTCTGTTTTTTGGGCATATTTACCCTGGACGGGTGGCGGATGTGGGTGGGTGAGTGGCTGGGTGGCTGGGTGGTTGTGTGGCAGGTGAAGTCGAATGCTTTTGTAAGATGATTCTGGGCCCGGCCCGGCTTGGCCGCCAAAGTAAAGGGCACATTTTGGTGCAGCAGTTGCTGACGCGTTGGTTGGGTAGTTGGGAGCTCATTTGGATGGCTTTACCTTTGGCTCTGGCACACTCACTCAATACAATTGTACAATATTTATTTAATGTAAATGAGAAACGAGAAACGAGCCACTCACGTAGTCCATAGTCAGGCCATAGTCAGGCTCATGTGGTGGGACCTCTGCCCCGCCTCGATATGCGAAATGATATTGAACATTGTGTCGAATTGCGTTTCTTCTGTATGTGCCAATGCATTCAAGCAAATTAAAATTGGAAATTAAATGTTTACGAAGTACGAAAATTTTAAACGAAAAAGTAATTGCTTTTCCTCCTTTTCCTTGTGAGACTGCAGCGCCATCCAGGACAACGATGCAGGAGTCGAGGCGAAGCGCCCAACTGGGCCAACGGCACGGCACATGGCATATGTGTAACTTGTGCAACAGCAAGACCTTTATTTAGTTCGTTCTCTGAGATTTAAGCATTAGCTTTTGATAAATCTGTTCTTAAACTATGACTTGCTCGAGATGCCTGCAGCTGCACTGAAGGAGCGAAGCCAAGTTTAGCTATGTGAATATTTAAAGAAGTTTATCAAATATATTAGCTTGCGAAAATTTACAGATTTAGTTTAATGCAGACAATTCAGTATTTAACATTAAAGTACAAAATATACTTAATTAACATTAGAGGCGCTAAGTTCAATTCTCGTGAAGATAACAGACTTTGATTCAATAAAATAATGTACTTTACATAATTTAGTTACAATAGCTCTAAATACTCTTTATAATTTGAACTGAGTCATATCGGTTCGACTGGTTGGCTTCTTCTCTAATCTCCTTAGATAGACGTCCATCATCCTCATCTAGAAATCAAATCAGGGTACATTCGTCGCTTCCAGCATCAAAATTTCAGGAGTCATCAGCCCACTTACAAATTGATGCCGCATCAAAAATCAAAATCAGAAAAAAAAAAAAAACAAAATCCGAGCTAGGTATATATCCAAAAAACTAAATCATAAATTGAAAATTACTATTTGGGCTTTGAAGGCTTTATAAAAATTTATTGTGCTTGTGCTTTTCCTGAAGATTCCTACGCCCCAAATAGCAGAATATATCTTAAAAATACTGAAAAATTGAATACTTGAAAAATGCGTTATCCCTAAAAGTTCTTTAATTTCGGAGCTGTCTTTACAATGTCATTTAGAATTTTCTTAGTAGGCTTGATACCAGTGTCAGTTTTCGGTCATGCTCTCATTTACTATAAATAAAAATGCCGCGTCCTAGAAGATCTAATCTTTCCTAGCGGACCCGTAATGCAATTAGGCAACGGAATATCGCGAGTCAATTATCTGACGAAGAACAAACTACTGGACAACCGACATGTAACATTTCGAAATACTCCGCCAAAGTTTTAGTAGTATCAAAATATATANCATTTATTTTATTAATTTAAAAAATTTGTCGAACAAAATATGAATTTAGTGAGAAAAAAAAATGTAGACTTGCAGCAAATTTTTTTGTATTTAAGTTCCTTGTTTTAAAAAACCTTTAATTAAAAAACCCGGATTTTCAACGAAACTTTTGCCGAAATTTAGAATACTTTTTGTCAAAATTTAGAGCATTGTTTTATTTTTAAATATTTTTTTGAAGTACATTATTTATTAAAATTTTTTCGTTTAATTTTAAAAATTTGGTTAACGAAATTCGAATTTAGCAATAAAAAAAAAAAAAAAACGGACATTGTTGCGAATCTTTTTTTTGTCAAAATTTAGAACACTTTTTTTTGTCAAAATTTAAAACATTATTTTTGAGTAAATCTTTATTTTAAAATATTTTTTAAAGTAATTTGATTATTTAATTAATTTTTTTTTTGTACAATATTAAAAATTTGTTAAACGAAACTCGTATATAGTGATACAAAAAAACCGGACATTGTTGCAAATCATTTGTCGAAATTTATAATTTTTTTGTCAAAATATTAAGCACAGTTTAAAAAAAATTTTTTGTTTTACTTATTTTGTATGTATTTTTTTTATTTTGTTTTTATTTTTAGCTTATAACGTAATTTTAAATATTTGTTGGACGAAATTTGAATTTAGTGAGCGAAAGTAAACCGGAGACTTGCAACTAAACTTTTGTCGAAATTTAAAACAGTTCTTTTTATTTTGTTATTTTTTCGTAAAAAAATTATTTTTGTCAAAATTAAAAATTTTTTTTGATGTAAGTTCCGTATTTAATTTTATTTAAATTTTTTTTTTTTTTTTTTTTAATTTTACACGAGCAGATCTTACTTCACTTATATTTCAACAAAGACTGAATAGAAACAGTATCCAGATGCAAAACCTTTAGAATTTATAGAAAAAATTCAAAGCCAGCTGAGTTGCCTGAGCCTTCTATTCTGATATATGTATATGTAGATATTGGAAGTGATGTTTATTGTGTGTGTAGTCTGGTGAATTCTCTAGCTGATTCATTCTGAATATAGTTAACCAGAATAGATAAGAAATGTACACCAACCTCTTCAGAAAATGCACATAACTATAGTAGCTGAACGAAGAGATATATTAAGTTCATTAGCTGGCATTTTAATCTAGTTTTAGCTTTCAATTTGTCAGCTCGGATGGAATCGATAGCAACAAGTGAGGCAACTGCCTTCCTTTTTTAAAGCACCCGCAGGTAGATAACGGACAGCTGCCTGATTGAGGGCTCGCGAAGGATGGGGCTGGACTTTTGTTTGCGGTTGAGCTGAGGCAGGTTGAACGAACAGCCGTTCGACACATGCGACATTTGCGATTGGACTCTGTGAGCTGTGCGGAGGACAAAAGGATGTTGCGGCTGTTATCGTTGCCGTTGCCGTTGTCGTTGTCATCGTTGCAGTCGTCGTCGGCAGCGCTTTTGCGATTTGCAGAGGGCATCATTATAGCAGTATTCAAGTCCTTGGCTAAGGCTCAACAGACGAACCAACCGACCAACCAACCATCGGCACCCAATGGCTGAATCAGCCATAGCGCAAGTTGAGCCACTGAGTCAATGTGAGCTGGCGCTGATGTAGACAGCCAGGAGAGTAATGCAGAAATGATATCCTGTTTTCATATGCGTCTGCAGCTAAATGTGGATGTGTACGAGCATGTGTGTGTGTGTGTATGCAACAACTGCAAGTTTTGTTTGAGTTGTAGCCGCAGGTTTCATTGTAATGTGCTGGTATCTTGTTGCCATTCAGTCAGTCACACAGTCACTAGTCCGTCAGTCAGTCAGTCAGTCAGTCAGTTAGTCAGTCAAGTCGAGTGGGGCTGGTTACGGTTATGGTTACGGCGGAAATGGCTATGGTTTAGAGGTACCTCTGCTGTTTTCTTTTTCCACTTTTTAATTTCCGTTTTCATTGCCTTCGGGTGGACAGAGTGTCCGTCTCCACGATGTCGACGAGGATGAGGACGACGAGAACGACGACGACGACGACGGCGGCGGCTTTCTGTTGATGTTGTTCTTGTTGCTGCTGCACGGCTGGCTCTAAAGTTGGCAGCAACAGTGGCAGCAGTGGCACCACAGTGGCCACAGGTAAAGCATAGACTGTGTCTTGCAGTTCAAGTTGGCTTGCCCACATCATGCCTCATCCTTGGCCACACGCTCACGTTCACATCGTTGCCAAGAACAACATGAGCCGAACGAATTTTCGTAGGAAACGCCAATGGCTAATTTGGACTAGGTTGTTGGTGGTGCTGCTGCTGTTGCTGCTACTCGGCTGCAAGAATGTCGGAACCAGCTCAGCAGTAAACCAAACAAGAAAAGGTCGAGTCAAGTCGAGCACGGGATAGCGAAAATTGAAAGGCGAGCGTTAAGTTCCCCATTGGCCAAATACACGCAGCCCACTTGCTATGTGTGACAGTCACTTCCGCCGGGCATTACAAAATTCTTGCCACGCACCCATGCCCCCACCACGTCCCCAAGCCGCCCCACCTGATAAGCTGCCCCTGGCTGTGGCTTGTCGTGGCTCGTGTTTCAGTTTACCCCACTTGGAGTCACAAATCATTTAAATTCATGTAGTTCAAATTATCAACATGCAATGTTTACTTTGTTGTCGC